CTTTTGAATGCTTAGCCATAAATATTAGTAAATTAAATAATGCTAACAAAAGCGCAAACCAAAATCAAATCAATACTAATGCTAACAAAAGCGCAAACCAAAATCAAATCAATACTAATGCTAACAAAAGACATTCAATTTAATATTACGAATGAGAATGTATTGAATATCTATTTTTGTTTTGCAATAATTTAGATAAAAATACATAACCTATTTTTATTTTTCTTTAGCGTTTAGTCATGTAATTAATACTCCCTTGTTAGTCTATTTATTTTAGCATGACTTAGTACTTTTAGATTATGTTTATTTTTATTATGGCTTTTTAATTAGTAATATTTATATTAAATAATTTTATTGTCTCTATTGTTGAATATTTTAGGATAATGCCATGACACATCTCATATTTTGTATTATTTTCTTGAAAAATACTTCATATAGTTGTATCTTACTAGGATTAAAGAAATATTTTGAGCATACGTTATATGTTTTGTTCTATGAAGATTTTACCAGAAAAAAATAACTCGAAAATAACCCGAAAACCCGAGAAAAACCGAGAATGAAAAACCCAAGCTTTATTGGTTTGGTTTGGTCTTTAGATTTAATAACCCGACACAATTGGTTTGGTTCGGTAATTGTAAAATTTGAACCAACCCGGCCTATGTACACCCTTACTGCTAGCTACTTGCTTCTCAGAAGACATGATTATCCTATTGCCCTTTCGAATAAGGGGATTTTTCATGTGCAAGTGAAAGTGCAAATGCGGAAAAATACTGAACTTTGTCCTGTTTGACTCAGAAGATATCGGAACCTTTTTGAATAAATCAATTTAAAAAAATGAAGGGGTAAATCTTAGCTAAGTATATTAATCTCTAGAACAAAAGATATACAAGGAGAATCAGAGGATAAGATCTCTTTATCTTGTCAAAATGAACCCTCAAACAATAATGACCTTAATTGTCTCCGTAAGCAAGTATTATAGCAAGTGTTATAAGTTAGGAAAAATGCCCAGAGAGCTTACAAGGTTGTTTTATGCTCTATATGTATAAGGACAAACCCCTTCTAAGCCCTAAAAGACAAATCATAGAGAATATTCGAGAGAATATTCCTAATGTCCCCTAATGGGCCTACACTGCTGCAAAAGTCGTACAGTCTCTTGTTCGCCTGTAGGTCATCCCCTACAGGATGTCGAGCTACGAAGATCTCGTCATTTATCGTACTCATCAATGGTCGTGGTTGTTCAAATTTAGACCAATACAATTAGTCCCTCCGCTTGTCGAGGTTGAAACTTGGTGCGTCCTCGATGAGTGGACACCACTCGCTCTTATGGAGAAATTTAGTCTTGCGAAGCGTCACGGCTTGGCCAATAATGGGCAGTCAGCGTGCTCAACAAGACACCGGATAGTGTATTCTATCGGGAAATGACGTCATCTCCACGTACGTCATCATTATGCGTGTTTTTGAGACAGGGGTTGATGGCTTGTCGCTTCGATTTCGGTGTCATTCTGCAACCTTCCGTTTCGATTTTGGAGCCACTCAATCCTATAAATAGGCGGAGGGTTTGTTTTTTCAAAATCTCTTGGCCATTTTATTTCTGGTTAGCCTTTCTCATCCCTCCCAAGTTTGTTCTAACAACTTTCTGCTTCTTCTTCTCCCGTTCTTCGTTCATAACCTTCTCCACTGTTCTGACACCTCTTTCATCAAATGTAATGCCAAGAACACATCGATCTCATGAGGGGGTTTCTGAGGCCGCCCCGTTGTCTGTGGCGCCCCCTTCCGGTGGTGAGGATATGATGGTGGAAGAGGGGGATAGTTTTCCCATGGTGGAGGAGTTGCTGCCGAGGCACCCCATATCTCGAAGCGACTTAATCAAGGATCCTCCTCCTACTCTTACCCCCATGCTCTCTAAAATGGAACAAGTTCATATTGACGATCTCTGTACAAAGTATAACACCCCCGCTCATGTTGACATGGTTCCAGCGGGAAGGGATTTTGTGGAAGTCCATAGACGTGGGTACTGCGCTTTTTACGAGTACCCTTTCGCGATAGGTCATTCTTTCCCCCTCCTTCCATTAGTGGAGGAGTTCTGTAGATTCTACCAAGTTTGCCCGGCGCAACTCTCACCATACACACTTAAGATACTCCTACTGTTGACAAAGTATGCAGAGTTGGCGGAATGCGAGGTTCCTATCCACCACCTCTTACATCGGTTCTCGCCCAGCTTCCACAGAGGCACTATAGTGCATTTGAGATATCGTAGAATAAAGAGGTTGGTGGTTGGGACCGACGACCGAGCAAGTCGCACGTTTTGGAATAAGCACTTCTTGGTCAAAACTGAACACATTGTTTCCGACCCCGCCAGGTTCCCGGAGCGATAGAACGAGACTCGTAAGTGTTGCCACTTATTTCACTCTTTCTTTTCTCTTCATTTGTCATAGGGTTTATTTGTTTCTCGTTTGCAGCTATGGGACGTCCACCCAGCCCTGTTGCGGGTATAAGGGATTGGGTAGCGCGTCTGTTGACCCATGTAGTGGAGACCCGAGATTGGCTCGCCTTCGTAAAACGTTATGGCCCGAGAGTTTCATCTGGTAAACGTTTTCCCTTGTATCATTTCGTCGGTTATACATCGTCGTCTATTGATACGACTCTTCATGACGACAGGTCGAGGAGCTTCCAGACGGAGGGAACCAGTCCATGTATTCCGACAGGCTGTCGCTGTTGCAGGAATGCATTTTATTTTGACTGAATCTGTTTGAGGGGGTTGTCCTCAACCGATTCAAATGGAAGGTCCTTCTCGGGATATGGTCGTGAGGGAGGAGACTTCTTCTGTACCGACCCTTCACCTCTTGGATGAATCCTCTAACGGGGAGGAGTCGTTACTGAGAAAAAGGAGGAGAATGGAGCTTGGAAAGGATGTGGCCGTGGATACTGGTAGAAGTAGGGCGTCGCAGACGGAACCTGTACCCAATGTTTATGGCTGACACCATCTTAGCGGGGAGGTCTCCCCAAACGAAAGGGATTTACATAGGGGCTGGCTCTGTGCGCTCCACTGAGGGTGGCACGTCATCCAACATTGGAGGAGGCCGGTGTGCCGAAGGTGAAGGCTCGGGTTTAGATGTCGACCCGAAGAACGTTCGCGAGTTTGTAGGTCACCATACTCACATGGAGTTCAGAGTAGAAGGGTCTGATCGTCACATAGTTGTCCCAAGGGACTATAACCTGTTGTCGAACTGCGATCAAGTGGCATCTGTTTTAGCCCCTCTATAGGTGTATGGGGTAAGGCAAGTGCCTTAAGTCCTCAATTTTGGGAGGCCTCATTTTTTAGGAATACTATANTATATATATATATATATAAACTTTTAATATATTAATAAAGTAAAGCTTAAAATAGTACTAAAAAAATAGTTGTCACTTGGATTTGATTTGACAACTCTACTTTTTGCTCTTCTTCCCAAATAATTCCAAGACCCAATCCAACATTTCAATTTCATTCTTCATATTCCATATAGGAGAAAGAGACACAGTGACATACCTTCTTCCTTTCTTTTTATTCATGCTTATCTTCTTTCTACTAGATTTCTTTCTCCAAGACTCCAACAAGCCAACAACTAGATATTTTGGAATCAAAGTTTTCAAACTTCTTGAATCAGTTAGTCGGGTAATATCATCCTAACTTTCTAGTATTATTTTTATTTGTTATTTATTATTTTTTTAATTTTACTATGTACATATTGTTTAATTTTTATCAAAATATAAACATGTCTACAAGAAAATATGCATCCGGATATTCAAAAATCCAAAAGAAAAAAAAGTTGAAAATTTAATAAAATCTCAAAAAGGAGCTCTTGAGAACTTTTTGATAAATAATGGAAAAACTAAATCACAAAATGTAGGAGAATATTCTATAAATGAACAAGTCAATAACTTTGAGGGAGATGATAACAAATCCAAAAACGAAGATACAAACTTTGGGCTTAGGCGCCATATTAAACTTTGGCCCCTTAGGTCCTGTGTGAGCTTGATCCGCCCCTGGCCCCTGCAGTGTTCTTCCACCTGTAAAGGAACAATTTTTTGATAACTTCTGTGTTGGGGCTGAGATTAAAGGGGTCGTTGAATGTCCCAACCAAGCATTTGGAGCCGCCTCTGTTTCCGTCACCCCGGTCATTCTTAGTTTGCTCCTGTATCTCAATCTGCTGCGATGACCACTGGAGTATTTTTGCTGCATCTGGATATTTCTTGTTTCGGACATCTGCGAATCTCTGAAATCTGATGTTGATGCTTAGATACTTTGTTCTCCTAGGTGAATTCTTATATCTAATTTCATAGGTAAGACACTTTGTTCTCCCTAGGTGAACGCTTATGAGTCTGACTCCGTGAGAAACATAATTAGAATTGGATTCCATTGTACTGGAAGCATAACTCTATTTACACAGATTATTTGGTAGGAACAAATTTAACCTTTAGTAAAGAGACATTATAACTCGCCTTGAAGCATCATCTTAATTTCCTTTAATAATTTTCTGCATTACCTCCATCTCTATATTGATCTATAACATGGAGCTCCATGTAAGAACAGTGGCATATGCAGGAAATTTTAATAAGTGGTGTCAATATTGAAAGAAATAGGCAAATTAATAAATTACCATAAAAGGCAAGCAGTGTCATTTTTATATTTACATCTAATTTTTATGTTTATTATTTATACATACATATTGTTAAAAAAATTAGACGAAGTGATATCGCGTGATACCGCTTGGAACAAGGTGCCTACGCTCCTGTGTAAGAGCTTTATCCTAGATCTTGTGCTTGTAAACTGACGTTGAATTTTATCAGCTCGAAAAGTTGGGCTAGTTATGGCAATGTGTAACCTGAAGGGCAATCTTCACAACATCTAAAGATAAAGCATGCTAATGCATGTTAATATTCTGTCCTATTAGTTAGGTTACAAGTTGATTTTGCACCAAATGACCATATATATATATATGAAATTTGCACCAGTAAGCTGAATAATAAAATTGTGGATACTGCAACATCATAAGAGCTCAGCAGTGAAAAAGATACAAAGGACCCTTTTATTAATAGAAAAATACACATCTCCCACACTATATACAGAAAGGAACACTTTCAAAACTTGGAAAACCACTCGTTCCCTTGTATCTCTCATAGTGCTTTTACCTTGATCACTTCTTTTTACAAGACCCTTTGTGCCTTCTCCTTTATCAAGCTCACAGGATTGCCAAAATTTTGGTGCTCCTCACTTGATAAAATATTAAAGTTTTGCAAATGATACATGCAAGCAACAATTCAGGATCATCGAACTGAACGAATCAATCTTGACTAACTTCTTTTGTAGCAGAGGTGGTCAACTCTATGCTACTAAGAGCTGCTTCGATATCTTTGGCTTCAGCAGAATCTGCATATTTAAGGAACTGATCAATATCTGTGCTGCCAGCTCGTCTATTATGATACCATCTTCGATGTGTTTTAGGCCTTCTCTCGCTAATTGCAATAGAGATGTCATTTGGAAAGAGGTCTCTCAGAACAAAGGCATGAATGATGGTTGTCACAAGCAGTGCTGTCACTGTGAGTGTAGAAAGAGTGCAAAGTATGACAACCAGGATTTTGGTCACAACAGTGTTAACCACATTTGAGTATCTGATTGTGGCAATAGCAGCTCCGGTCATCGGAAAAGTGTAGGCCCACCAAGCCAATGAAAACCTACAATTACAAAATGAGACTTGTTTTAAGAACAAAGCCAAAGATCATGAGGTACTAAGATATAGACACATATGTACATTAGCATACCTGAAGCCTCGGAAGAAATTAATGCGAACAGCCTGTTAATGAATAAGAAAAAAAAAAGGAAACAGATGAGCATGCTACGAAAACATCAAAGGTTGAAGCAATTTGCAAATGTTGAAGACACTTGACTATCTAGTTGACATACCAGTGAGAAATAAAGGAACAAGGCAATGAAATATGCAATCCGAGCTCCAAAATCAAAGGACCCTTGAATATTTGCCCATGCCATAGAAGCAACACTTGGAGCAGCAACAAATAGAAAGAACACCGGATGAAGATCCTTTGGCAGTGTCTCATTTGTTGGAAGTCTTTGGTACAGAGTTACAAACAGAACAGTGTAATGAGCCAATCCAACAGCAAAGAAGAAAATCGCCCCTTCTTTTAGTCCCATGGTTGCACCAAGCAAGGAACCAACAAAATTCCCCACAACGGAGAGATGATTTGATGGATTGGCCACCTTTGAGAGCCTTCTTTGACCTCCGGACATCCATTGCCCATAGATCTTGAGCTCTAAACATAAGAATGGGGTCATAAGTACATACCATAAAGCTTCAGGAAGGTTTTGATAAACTGTAGGTGGAAGTCCAAGCGCTAAGAATAGAAGCGCTATCCATGGAGCAAAGAAGAAGTTAACACGTATCGGGTGGTAGTACTCTCTACGAACTGCTTCAAAGTAGAAAATGATTTTCAAGGCATAAGTGAAAGAGACAATGGCCATCAGGGCAACAGAGATGCACCAGAGAACAAGGTTTACGTCCAAACTTATGTGGAGAAATTTGGTCGTGGCGGATGTGGCCAACGCTTTCCACATTATAGCTTGGCTACTAACACCAAGAATGATACCAAACGATGAAATAGGGAAACGAAGTAGAAATGGCCATGTCTTGTCCTCTGGAAGAACACTTTCCTCAGAAGCCTGTAGAGGAAAAAAAATGCAATATCAGCTCACAATCTTGATTCATTATGATTGTACTGACAGATAAAGCTAGAAATGAAAGGAAGTAACAGGACAAGGTTCACGATGTTAAATCAATTCCCATTGAAGCATCTAACTAGTAGTTTGCATTAACGCCCTTGAGGCTTACTCTAAGTATTTGCTCTTATTTCAAATAAACAAACATACAACAAAATAAGTAGTCACCAAAAAGAAAATCAAATGGCTTCCTCTAATAAACATGCAGATTAGATTTAACCAAGTAAATTGATTCCACAACTATAGAGTGGAAAATTAATTGGAGCAGGTGAATACCCTTTACACTAGATTGTAGCCTGGGAAAAGCACTGTGAACTTTCTAATACTTAGATGATCAGATGGTAATAAATAAAAAAGACAAACTTTTACCCCTAAACAATGAAACTCCAGCCAGATAACCAAAATAAATGGATGGATAAAAGCATACCCTTAGCTTGTCAAGTTCTGGCCCCTCCAAGGCATCAAAATATCGGTCAACAGGAATATTAATTTCCAGTTCAGGACTGGGTTGAGAGATGGACTCTTGTTCTGTTTCCTGGTTCTTATTTCCGCGCAAATTCGATAACTGTCTCTCAAGCCTACCAGAAAATGTTTTGAAACTGTCATATCTTTTATCCTTTAGCTTGCTAATCCTGGGATTCCTAGGAAGTTCGCCGCTTGCAGGAGCTCCAGAGGCTGCAGTTGTACCTGTTGGCATAGGCTGAGAATAAAACCTTGTTTTCTTATTTCCATTGCTACCAGCATCTTTTGATCTAAAAGCAGAATCAGGAGTATCTTTAGTGTCATCAGTGAAGACAACTTTTTTCGGAGAGGGGGGCATGCTAATGGAAACTGCACGAATTCTGTCACTCTCTCGCTCAGCAGCAAATTCAGATACCTAGAAAGATCATAGGAAAGTATTTAGGCCAGTGAAGTGCCACACTATATGTTACAGATCAAGGTGGTAATAAAGTCCAATCTATACTCAAATTTCATCCAATGATACTTCCTACTTTATTCAATGATCAATAACAAACAGAGGAAGGTGTTGAAAGGTACAAGATCATAGATGTAGCATAGTAGTAACCTTTATCCAAAAGTATATAAATAGCAGTTAGAAATATTCCAATGAGTCGGAAGCTCTGCGCATGAAGCATCCCGCGTTCATGCAAGGGCCGCATCCCAAGGGGTGTGATGTAGGCAACCTACCCTGATGCAAGCACCAATGGCTGATTCCACGGCACGAACCCCTGACCCATAGGTCACATGGAGACAACTTTATCGTTGCTTCAAGACTCCCATTCTAAATATTCCAATGAATCACTGAATTAAATTTAAAATTCAAGCCCCTAGAAAGTATTTCAATCTAATTTTTGGTTTCAAATATTTAGTTAGATTATCATTAGTCAATCAGGTACAGGGATCTGCTTATCTTGGGCACAAACTTGTAAAAGTAGTTGTAATTTGTAAATCATAGATATAAGAAAGTCTAGAGCTGAGAAAAAAGAAAAGAATCTGAAAAGTAGTTTTGTGATTATAGTTCTGAAAAGTCAGCTTCTATTTTACATGAACAGCATAATACTAGAGTTCAAGCTAATAGTAATACATATCTTATACCAGCAAAAGGTGGAGAGCTATCAAATCTACAAGTCGCGAATAAAATAAATACAACTGAAGAATACAGCATTTATTTTACCTCTAACTGACATTATTACTAAGAAAAGAAAAAAGATTAATTACCATAATTGATGAGCTTGGAAAGTGAGATTCAGGTGCAGGCGCAGTCTGATTTTTAATATGGTCATTCACTATACTATCAAAGTCGTGATCCATTTCAGAACTTATGAATCTGATGAGTGATGGAAGTCCTTCAGCAGAAGCTTCCTTCTCAGTATGGATTTGTTCACTTGTTTCCATGCTTATTTAAAGAACGGCCTGTAAATAAAATATACTCTAACTATTAGGTACATAAACATATTATTTTTTAATTGAAGTTCCATATATTGACAGTGTGAAAATTATTTACCACTTAAAAGGAAAGGTAATTACAAGTAATTATCTTTAATAGTAGTATTGATTGGTAATATAGAATAAGTGGTAAGTTGATCTGTTATAACAGATTAAATCACACTGATGATGCCAAATGTTCATTACACTATATGTATATATTTTAAACTTTTATTATTATAAAATTTTTTTTGCTCAATGATATGAGGAAAGAAACTTCAGGACGCCTATTTTTGACAAATATGGACAAACCCAAAGAAGTATCATATGCCTGTTTGTTAAAGCAGGAACATGGATCATGCACTATACTTATATTATACTATATACTTGTCCTGATAATCAACATTTGCAAAATATGTATTCCATAAAAGAAAAAGAAAAAACAAGCTAAGACTCATTCAAGTTCTCTTTAACCAATAGCCTCTGGTGACCTCTCTAGAATTTGATCATCTTCCTTTGCACTTGGCAGACATAATAAAAAGATTAAAAAAATAGAAACAAATAGGAAAACAAAGAAACAAAAGCGAATTCTCTTCTGAAATAGTGCAGGATCGATCTATAGCGAGTGCTGAAATACTGGCCATGAATGATTTAACAAGAAGAATATATCTCTATTATACTGTACCAAAAAAAATAAAAAGAAGTTTACAAACATAGCCAAAGCAAGAAGCCAAGGAGATGTTACCTCCTATTTTTTCTGCTGTTTAAATGCAGACAATGCAATCCACTATGGGACTTGAATGTCAATATTCTCTTAACGGCTACAGTACTTGGATTGATTGTAGATCGAAACTGAAGCACCCAAAATTAAAGATCTAAGTTTTTCTTTTCAGAGGAATTAAAAGGAAGGATGCCAAGACTGGGATGGAGCACTTTTGAGAGACCAATGACGAGTCGGAAAGAAAGAAAGAAGTATAAATAGCATTAATTAGTCATGCAATGTTCTTGGAAGCAGACATCAGTCACATCATTTGTGTTATATACAGCTGCCATCTATGAATGAAGTTAACAATATTCCGATCAACAAAAACATAAAAAAACATATTCCGTCCGTGAACCTGTTTGATTGGATACGGAATTTAAGAAAAAAAATAAAGAATTTTGGAATTTGTGGTCCTAAACAAGTCAAAAAGGGGCCCAGAGTAGTTGTGTGATTTATAAAAATTTCTCATTAAAGGTAGAGTTGTAAGTTTAAGCTAAATTGTTGGTAAATTTAGAAAGGAGCCATTCTTTTTAAAATAAAACGAAAAGAAAATAAGTTCACGCTGGAGTATGAGACAAAAACATGAATAGTAGTTCAACTTTAATTTGTGCAATCAGGTTGAGTTTCAAAAAAAAAAATTGCAATTGATAAAAAAATTTTAGTAGTACTTTATGTGATAGGTGGGAAAATAGAATAATCTGCTATTTCAAATTAAATTTACAATATGGCCCTGTTTGTCCATAAAATTTTGCAAGTTTTGGAAATTAAATTTTTAGAAAAATTGTTTTTCCCCCCTTCACAAAACTGTAATATTTTTTCAAGTGAAATGCATGTCCAAACACAATTTCAAATTTCAAATTCCAAATTCCAAATATCATTTTTTAACTTTACTCAAAGTACTATTTTCTTTTTTAGAAAATTATAGTAATTTTTATGTTTAAACGCCTACTCTCTCTCCATATATAAAACATAACTTGTGTTCTTTATAGTAGGTGAACCTAGCAGGTACAACTTGAATATTTGTCCTCGATTCGCTGGAGAACAGTGTTGACTACAACTATTTGCCTGCTAATAAGTGAAACAACGTATATAGCAAGTACTCCTATTAAGGATAGAGTTGGAAAAAATTGCTTCAATGTCAGCATCAAGATTTTGAACAATTCGTATTAAAGGAACAAGACGCCACTTTTTCTGAAAGATTACTACAAGATTTACCAGATTGAGACGAAAGATAATTATTAATACAACTTTAAAACTATTAGCTATTGTCAAACACACAGATAAGACGAACCATCACTTCCAATTGCGACTACCTATATGAATCATGCAATCTTAACAATAAAATATTAAATAAAACTTCGCTAGTCTAAAGAATGACGACAAATATAACCATTAATGAGAAAATATATTACATTAAATAAAACAGAAAGAGACTGCACCAAGGTTAATACTACCAACGGAAGCTTTTATTTTATTTATTGTATTTTATTTTTGGCAAGAAAAAATAATTAAGCAGTGTGAGCATGCAGGTTTTGGTAATACGTCATTTTTATGCAACTTGTTTGAAGATGAGACTGCGGAGGTTCTTGACAAAGCTAGTTTAGTACGTGTAGGATAACATCAAAGTTCTTATTAATATCATATTAATGAAGAAGGATTAAACAGAATATAATACAGATTAACGGTATCAATAGCTGACAACAAAAACCACCTGTTACAATTAATATTACACGATTTTTTCAAGTTCTATAAAATTTAATAAAGAAACAGTGACAGATATTGTTATACATATTACACGCCTCTATCAATAAATTTGTCAAACTGCATTGAAAACTATAGGTGAAGAAACAAATTCCAGAGAATTCAAATTCAAATTGTACAAAAAGATTTAGTCCTTACCTCACGAAAATAGCTAGATATAAAGCATCAAAGGAATCTATCGCCGTCGATTCGGGAAGCTTAGAAACTTAAACACGAAAACAATATAATGGACAACTGTATTCAATTCGTGGGTCAAACATGTAATGCAGAAAGAGAATATATATACGGAGAGAGTCCCCACACTACAGCAAAGAAGAAAAGTACTATTCATTAAATTGTAGTATAAAATATTGAAGTTGATCACCCACCAAGTAATAATATGGTCCATGACGACTAATGACACCTTTTCTCGACATGACCAATCGAATTTATAAGGACTTGATCATAATGTATCAAATTTCTGGGGTAGTCTTTTTTACTTGTTAGATCTCAGCTTCTATCTTTTCGTTTTTAATAAGTGGTCTCGGTTCACTTGCGGGGGCAGATTCATAGCCCAAATCATGGGGCACATGTCCTCATGGTCTCATCGTCAAACTGGTTATTTTATGTACGTATTTTTTAGAATTTGTCTAATATTATCTATTAGTATTCATGTTCCAAAAAGATTGAATGGTGCACTTGGCTGAATATTGGGTTATTTACCTTGAGAAATAGGATTGACTCCCGCTTAATATTTTTTTCTGTTTTTTTAGTGGTGCACTCATGTTCAAGAAATCCTAGATCCGCCTGTGTTTACTTGTCCATATTTAACTATTTTTATTCTAAAGTGTCATCTCTCATCCATATAGGTATCAAATAACTTTGTGCACTAAGTTTTGATAAACTAGAAGAAATCACATGATCCCTCTATTCCGGTTTATATGATACATTTTTCTTACTAATAGTCTATTTCAAAAAGAATGAGGTATTAATATATTTGAAAATAATTTAACTTAAATTTTTTATTTTACCTTTAATGGTACGCTTTTATGGCTACAGGAATGTTATGTAATGTTTAAGATCATAGATTTCAAAAGCTTTGTAACCATACAAAGTATCATATGTTTAAGATCACAAATATCAAAAGTTTTCATTTTTTTTTTAATTCTGTGTTGAGTCAAACTATGTTACATAAATTAAAATAAATGAAATAATTTTTTTTACTCTATGATGAATTTTAAATCCATGCCTCTTGTGTGAATCACCCTCTTCGTTTACCACTAGATTATGCTCTTGAGCAGATTTTTCTCTTAACAACACCAACAGGACAGTGACATTTGCTTGAGAACGTAATAGAAATATCGCAAGTGCGTAGCCGCAGCTAGAATTAAGAATGAAGACTTCGCATTTTTCCACATGAAATAATTAAGGAAATCGTACAAACAAAGCATAGGAAAACACGAAAACATAATCCAACTGGATTCAAGTTGGTGTTGGACTAACCCTAGGAACCGCATTCAGTGCAATTTGTGTACGTAAGAGATGAAAAAGCGTGTACAAAACGGGTGCATGCCTAGACAGAGAAAAAGAGATCTAGCAAGTGGGAGTTATAAACTGTAAAGGTCGACGACGTACATTGAGTAGGTATAGTGGAAATCATAGTGTACTTGGTGGAAAATGCAAAGGAAGTGGTGGTAAATAGGAGACTACACGTATGATCGCTTGGTTGGGAAATAAATTATCCCACGATTAATTATTCGGGAATTGTTATTTTATCCTTTTAAGAAAAATAAAATAACACTATAATGCTGGGATAACTAATCTCAGGTTTAGTTATACCGTAATTTTATCTCAATCAAACGTGGAATAAACTCATCTTAAATTTAATTTCGAGATTAATTATCCCTTATCTCTCGTACCAAACGAGCTCGTACTATAATCGACTGGCTAATGAAACAACTGAATTATGAGAATAGTCAGAAAGAGTTATCAAATATTTATGTTGGTGAAAAGTAGCGGTTGTTCAATTCAATAATTGACTCAAACATCATTATTATAAAAGAAAAACAAAACAGAATGCAGCTAAAACCTTAAAGATGTGTTATATGAATTCTTCATTCCATACTCATCAAATTTTATACTTACGTCCTACATTGTTTAAAACACACTAAACTTTTAGTAAAATTTGCCTGTACCATACTCCATCCATGCTAAATGCTATTCCACAAACCTAGATTGGTCTCTAAAGTCGCTCCGAGCTAGTCCACTTAACATACTCCATCCATTTTCTTTTACTAGTACCTCATATCAAAAATAATTTTTTTTGGTTTTACGTGTTCATATATTTTAACAAATGGTCAAAAGAGATTTATTAGTTTCTTCCAATATTAACTTTAATATTTAGTATTCACACTTCCAAATTTATTAGACTTACAACTTTAATAATCATTACTAATATTAAGTTAGTAAAACAAACTATTAATAAATGATTTGTTAAAGAGAACGGAGGGAGAAATTAACTTGATAACCTATTAATTAATAGAGGACGTAGGAAAGAGGAGATGGCTTTGGGAGAGGAGAAAAAGTAGGTCTTTGTCTGAAAAATTGAAAAAAAAAAGGGAACATATATATCCGAAGCTGAAATAGAATTCCACTAGCTCTATATATTTATTCAGTAACGAAATACGAGTTGTGCATCGGAATTAGTTAGTCGTAGCTAAAGCAGGAAACAGGATAATCAGTTCAAATCCATCATTTTTGAATCACAAATTCTTTTTAAAAAGGTTTGTGTGGATGTAATAGTAAGTGCAATTCTGACTGTGATGCTGTGAATATCCCCATCTTAGACACCAGATATAGGAATTAGTCCAATCTTCTTTTATAAATGTTTCACAATAGAGGCAGATCCAGGATTTTAAGATGATGGGTGTGCATTACTGTGAAGAGGTAGATCAAGAATTTATATTTGATCGGTTTAACTTTAGTCTCTTACTATGACCCACTACATTTTTAAAATTATAGGTTTAAAATTATATTCTTTTCGAAATTTTAGTAATTTTTACACACATATATATATATATGCACACACTTCGTGCAGAAATCAAAATCGTTTAGAGTGGAATTTGAATTGCCAATTTTATTTGTAGAGGCGCACCCAATATTAATTGCATTATGAAAGTCTTTGAGCATAAGTTCACACACATAAATTTTTATAAAATGGTTGCGAAAGAGTTGTGGACCTGGAACTTTGTGTGGTGCGTGACAGGAAAATACCTACAATATATTAAAGCTGGTCACAACACATGCAGTAGTTGACAAATTTTGCTTTGGTCCACTAAAGACAAATAGAATGCAATTTACCATTTTGTCTAAATAAGGCGTAAAATATTATTGCTAAATTTCTTAGAGGAATGGCATTGGCTATCATCTTGATGATGGCATTGGCTATCATCAAGATTTTGGATTTCGACTTTGTAGGACAGTTATTTGTGATGTCCAGTGGTTGATCACACGTGGGTATGGGTAGCATAGCAAATAAAATTTCATTTGAACAGAAAGTGTTTTGAGATCGGATATTTATTTGCAAAGATAACTGAGTGCATAAAAACTGAGATGATTATATACTTAGTACATAAAAGACAAATTGAAAATGCTGGTGCTAATTTGTGGACTCTAATGACGAAAACAAGACATTGTTACAACGAAGAAGAAGGTGGAATGTGGGGAAATGTGAAAAGGCAGGATCTAGATGATGGTAACTATGCACAAAAAAAAAAAAAGAAAAGAAAGCGAATGTTAGACATATGCTTTGGAAGCTGCTCTCAGTTAATTACGACTAGTAATCCGGAAAAAAGCGACCAATAATTTGCGACTAAAATTGATCTGTCAAGAAAAACAATCAAAGTTGGTCGTTTAATTGGAGAAAATTATAAAATAATTATTCTAAATACATTAGCGACCAAGGTTGGTCGCTTTTTGGTCGATAATGTGGTCAAAATGTTGACCGGACTGGTCAGACTTGCTTGGTCAAAGAAATATTGAAATTAGCGACCAATTTTGATTGTTAAAGTGGGACCCAGTTATAAAATTTTAAGAATTATATTATTATTTAAAAAATTATAAAATATAAATAAATATAATTTAAAATTAGCGACCAAAGTTGGTCGCTTACGAAAGGGGATGTCATGACCCGGATTTTTCACCCTCGGGAGTCGTGTTGACGCCTACTAATGTGAGCTAGGCAAGTCAATTATTGAACCATCTACCTTTTTACCAATTTTATTCTCTTTAACAATTCCGAAGAAATAACATTTAAACGACGGAATATAACATAAGCGGAAGAAAACAATAAGCCATCTAAACATGAATATCTATTATAACTATTTGAGTCTCGACTACCCAGAACTGGTGTCACAGTTTCACAGACGGTCTAAGAATTCTACAAATAAAGGTCTGAAAGAATTAAATACAATATTGTCTCTGGAAATACTTGTAAGAAACATGAAAGTAGATAGAAGGAGACGCCAAAGCCTATGAATGCCTGCAGGGCTACCTCAGGTCGCCTGATGAACAAGATTCAACAATCTCACTGCGGTCCAAAATCTACAACACTGGATTCTGCACACAAGAGTGCAGAGTATAGTATCAGCACAACCGACCCCATGTGCTGGTAAGTGTCCAGCCTAACCTCGGCGAAGTAGTGACAAGGCTAGGAACCAGACTATCAAATAAACCTGTGCAGTTATATAATATACAGCGGAAAGTAAAACAGGAATAAGCAAGTAAAGATGGGAGAGGGAAACATGCTGCGGGGGTATACTAGTATTACCAGTAAATCCAGAGTAACAATCTAAGGGCAGCTTAGAATTCACAGCGAACGAAAGAAACTAATATCCAAAATAAACACACTTGTATCAATAATTGTTTTGGCGTGCAACCCGATCCATATCATTTATCATTATTTTGGCGTGCAACCCGATCCACATATATCATTGTTGCGGCGTGCAACCCGGTCAACATATATTATTGTTACGGCGTGCAACCCGACCTACATATAATATTATTGCGGCGTGCAACACGATCCACATATAATATTATTGTGGCGTACAACCCGATCCCCATATAATATTGTT